ATCTACATGCAAAACAACAGAATTGTGGAACTTATTTAACCAAACATAATTCTCATTCATCAAGGAATAACAAGTGTAATATCCACTAAAGCAAAGCTTAAGTATATAACACCAACAATTTCTGAATGAATATGACGTTATTTAGGCAAGGTTACTCAAAAACAAAATGGAACCTAGCGACACGATGCTTGCCGACGGAACATCACGACACAAAGACTTCACAAATAGTCCTCGTAACACAAACATACCAAACACAACTTAGAAAATCAACGTCAATAACCCAAACGAACTAAATCCCAGTCCAAACCCTCCGAATACAATCTCAATCGAGAGCAAACTCACAGTTGGCGTACACTCGCTCGAACAACATAATCATCTTAACCGCGTACAATTTCTTCCTACAACCGACTCGAAGGTGGCGAAAATAAATCACCACCGCCGTTAAAACTTTGGCATTCCCCAAAAGATACCTCACTAGCTCAAACTCATGCTCTCGGCATCCGAACCCATAGATCCTTACTCCCGAAGACTCGAAGCCAGGCACAATGCGTGTACTTGAAACCCGACCGAGGATGCCGTGGCCGCCAAGTCCCGTATCTCGAGACATCTCAGCCCGGGAGAAATTATCTTCACCATGTACGTGCACTTCCTTCATTCCTATACACTTGACGTAATAAAATCTCCTTGCGTCGAGTGTGAGTCTCCCAAGCACGGGCCCAGAGGACACACGGAGGCACTTCTTGGCGGTCTCCAACCTGATTTTAGGGGAAAAAAATTGCAATTTGTACTCTGAAACCTGTCATCTATGCTCTATAACCATCTAGCCTTTGCTTCATCTCATGTTATAGTAAACTAGTACAACTCCCGTGTATTACACGGGTGCTTGCTAATTTTTTTTCTTAAAATCTAAAATTAATGAGAAAAAATAGTTAAAAATTTAAATACCTTTCATAAAAATATATATTATTATATATTTTGTATGACACTTTTTATTTATGCGACTTACTTGTGTTATATTATAATAAATTTTTTTAACTTACAACATATAACTACATTAAACATAAATATATCAATTGAGAAATAATTTTATTTTTCTAATGAATTTTAATAAATATAATTAGTTTTTATTATTATAAATATAAATATAATTTATTTATTTCAATATATACAATATGGATGTAAAATCGAAGATCATCAAAAGATGATTAATTTGATATATTATATATGTAAAACCGATAAGAAATACAAAAGTTATCAACTTTTAGAATACATTTACAATTCAATAGCTAATTGAAGGAAACAAATCAAAAGTCAGGGATATATTAGTCACTTAGTGTCTCACAATGTAAAATTACAAGGAATTAAAAGGTTATATTAGTACAAGTGATATTAAAATACCTAAGTTAGCTAAATAATATTTATGGAATGTCCAAACCTAGATTATTAATTATTAATATATCAATATTATTTGTCCAAACCTAATTACGAAGCATGATTTTTCACCAAGTAGGATTCCGAAGCACCAGAAACAGCCACGTAGGCTCAACACATTCGGAAATTATATATATGGAGGATTCTCATTTCCTACTTATTTGTATGTTAGAAACAATTCATTGATATAATAGTTAGGAAGTTATTATATAACTAAATTGATAATAGAAATATCCTTAAACAATAAATCAATTTTATATAAAGTAAAAATTTAACAATAAGATAAAAAATAGTTTATTAACAAAAACAAATATGTTTTGTGCATGAAAATGATAAAAGTTGTATGATAAAATAAAAACAAATTTTAACTAAACTATTTTATATAATACTAATATGTGTTGCTATTTTATTTTAATTTACTTGCCATGTCAAATTTTGTTATTTTGCTATTGTTTTTAGAAAAACATATACTAGAATTGCTCATTATTTAAAAATAAAGAGAATGTTTAGTAGGAAAGTGATTTAAAAATACTTTTATCTTGTCATATACACTGATTGAAGCTTCAAAACATGCTCACACTATATACATTCAAGATTAACCTCAAGATAAAATTAGTTGAGAAATTTTCAATCAATTTTTATGTTTTTCTGGTATTTGATGGTAAATGGGCCGCTGCTACTGCAACAAGGTTGGGTACTAAAAAAGTAAAACTTGAGCAACAGTGAACATAACACTTAGGAGTTTATATATGAATCATCATCAAGTTACATACCCGATATTTTCATCGTCTCGAAATTGCATGAAACATAAGCAAGTCGAAATAGTTACTACAAAACTTGAGGAACATTCGGTTGTCAAATGCAAACATTACTACCTACTACTGCATAGTGAGATCTCAAGCCAATCACTCAACAAACTCTATTCAAGGCAAGCTGACATGCGTTTGATCCTCGCTCCATTTATATACTGTAATTCAACTACAAATCAAAGTTTTAAGTATATTTAGTAAGTTTTATTTTTAAATACAAATATATTAAATGGATAATTACATATTTAAAACGTTTTTATTTTTAATTGTAAATACACTAACTCTCATTCTATGAATGGTTTATTTGTAATTTGTTTTATCACTTAGAGACTTTTTATAACTTTCATAAAATTGCATTGGCCTTTAGCTTATTAGTCATTTTTGAATGATTTATGTATGGTCTAATTTTAAATTATTTATATATGGTTTGATTTTGAATGTTGTATTTTTACATAAATAAATAAATAAATAAAATAAAATAAAAACTTGTAGTAAATATTTAAAAGAGCATATTCTTTTCTTCTTGGATCTTTTACATTTGGAATGAAATTTATTCAGTTTCAACTGTTTAGTTAGAACTCGTTAAGTTTAATCCGTATGTTAGACGTGTTGCTCTACCAACTTAATTTTATTGATATTGATAAGATACAATATTTATGTTATTTTTTAATAAAAAAAATACACATTCTACTTATTTTAAATATTCAATTATTTATTTTATTTAATTTTTTTGACATGTCAAGTGTGGTTATATTGCTATTATTTTTAAGAAAAACATATAATAGAATTGCTAATTATTGAAAAACAAAGAGAATGATTATTAGAAAAGTGATTTAAAAATACTTTTATCTTGTCACATATATTGAAGCCTCAAATGCCAATTATATATACATTGAAGCTTAAACTCAAAACAAAATTAGTTCAGAATTTTTCAATCAATTTTTCTGGTGCTTGCTGATAAATCAACAGCTGCTACTGCAACAAGAGTTGGTACAAATGCCACTAAAACATTAACACTTGAGCAACACTGAATATAACACCTGCGAGTTTATGAATCATCATCAAGTTACAAACCCAATATTTTCATCGTCTCACAATCGCACGAAACATAAGCAAATCGAAATAGTTACTACATAACTTGAGGGACATTTAGTTGTCGAATGCAAACATCACTACTTACTACATAATAAGACCTCAGGCCAATCTTTCAACAATATGAAAGTAAAGCAAGCTTACATGCGCTGGATTCTCGCTCAAACAATGAAATTCTCTCAAATACTTGAAATCTCTCAAATTCTTTCAAATTCTCATCAATACATACAATACATAGTTCCATCCTCTCCAATACTTGAGAATTCCTCAAAAGATATCTTACCACGTCAAGTTCATGCTCTTTGGACCGCATCCACGTAATTGTTATAGTTCTTAGACAGGATAATAGGCATTTAGGCACTTGATTGGGCTCTGGACACAAATATCCCTCTCCAAAACAATCCAACTCACACTAAAAAGGAGCATAACAAAATGAGCAACACAAAAGAAGGAGTTATTGCTGTAAGAAAAACGAGAACGGCTAAAGACAAGTTTAATTGCATCAACAATAAACTCCACTTACAATAAGAACTTCAAGATTGTCAGCAATTTCAAGGAACTTTACAAGCAAACTCCATTTGAAGTTAAACTTGACTTCAAGTGTGGTTAAATTATCAAACTTTACAGCTGAACAAGCAACTCCTCTTTGAACAAACTGAAAATATAAAACCACACTACACATATATATAAACAACAAAGCCGGGAACTAATTGACAGGAGACCTAAGAGATTGAAGAATCAAAACATACCTCCTCAAGCATCCAACCTGATATCACTAGGTACTTTACATAACACTGAAGAAAATGCACAATCGCGGTATTGTAACTTCGTAAGCGCAAATCCGCCTCAACTAAGGAGACCATGGTTATAGGAACTGTTATAGACCCCAACTTATAGCCATCCACTTGGAGATACCTAAGGGCCGGGGCATTTAATATCATCCTACATTTAGGGTCACAGGTCAAATCTTTAAGATACAGCTTAAACCTCTTTATTGTGGGTGATGATATAGTTATGCAGCCCACATAATCATTTTCTTTCACAGATGTGAGCGCCATATTCAACTCCTCAAGGGACGGACAGCCGGAAAGAAAGAGAGGGAGGGCTTCATCATTCTCCCACACAACATTAATACCATGAAACTTCTTGAGGCTAGGCAATGAGACATTCTCCACAGCAGACAGGGACAATAACGCTCTATAGAAATGAAGCTTCAAGTCGACAATGGTTTTGCAGTTGAAGATGTAGCGAGGGAATGTGTCCAAGTCAAGTTCAAGATAAAGATTCCGGATACCATGGTCGATGACAGCTCTAATCAACGTCTCCAATTGATACTCGTTGGAGTTGATGCAATCGAGTGTTAAAGTATCCATTCTTTTTGACTTGTGCTGCAATATAACCCTGTGGATGATGTCCGAGGCTTGTATTCCTTCTTCGTCCGAGTCTTGTGTTTCTTCTTCCGAGAAATCATCTGAGTCTTGTGTTCCTTCTTTCCAGAAATCGATCCCTCTGAAATGCAAACAGGGTACATGGGCCCATAGAAACCTCCATCTTTTTTCGAGAACACTTGTCGCCACCGAGAGCTTTGTCTCGATAAAAGAGAGAATGTGGCATACGACTTCGTCCGACAAGCTGCTCAACCTATCGATCGAGGCCATGTTTTGCTCTCTATCCGAAAGCATTGGCTACTTTTCACTCGATCGTCTCGATTCATCCATGTAATTTTTTTCAAAAGACGCCTGATTTTCACCAATTTCAAACCAAGGCAGTAGCATTATTCAGACTATTTGTCTGATGGGCAGTTTAATTCTAAGTCTAATGTGAAGAAGATGATGAGACAATAATGAAAAAGGTTGAGAAAATACACTTCATAACAGTAGAGCATTCACATAACAACTAATGTAGCTAAGAAGTCGAAAAGGGCAAGAGAGAAACCTGAAGCCTGAACAAAGAGACTGTCGCAATTCCGATCGACACTAGTTGGAAATTGGCCGGAGTTGAGGAGATGAATGGGAAAGAGTAAAGACAACGATGTGGGAAGTGGATTTTAGGGCTGAAGGGCACGCGTCTATCAACTGATTCTGGGAAAAATTTTATAACTGCCCCATTTCTAATACACATTTCTACAAAGACTAACGGGTATGAGAATTCCAAAAAGGGGTATTATGAATTCAAAAAATGCTTGAATAGGATGTTACATTAATCAAAATTCAAAATAATAACTCTTTTTTTTCTCTCTCTTTCTCTTTCTCTTTTTTCCTTCTCTCTCTTCCTTCTCACAATTCGTTTTTGCTCTGTTCTTCTTTTTTTTTTTCTCCT